CGCGCCCCAGCGGCGGACAGACGGACCGAGCTCCAGGGCACCGCCCCCGAGCCGTCGAGGCGCCGCTCTTCGGGGGAAGCGCCCAGGTCGGGGTCGCCGAGGCTCCGAAGGCCGTGCGGCTCTTCAGGAGAGGCTCCAGCGGGTCGTCCTGGGGCATCTGGGGACGCCCGGAGGTGGGCAAGCGGGAAGATTGTTCTCCGGCTCCGTCTGCTGGACCTCGGGGTTCCTGAAGCGAGTGCCTGAATGCAGGGCACCGGCCGTCTTTCCCCCCGCCCCCCGATCCCGTCTGCCTGGAGGCCGCGGCGGAAGCACTCTTAACCCCTTGTTCTCCTAGGAGCCCTAGCTGGGGCCGCCATACCGGAGACAAAGCCAGCCGGCGGCGCTGGCCTAAGCGGACTCCTAGGGACTGGCCGACCTCAGCGGACACCGACTAGACTTTCACACACCTTTAGATTATGCCCTGGAGGCCCGGAGCACTCAGCCCAAAAGGGGAAGGCAATGGTTGGAGAAACGAGACCAAGTCGCCCCAGTCTCTTGGAATCCAGAAGGGTTGCTGCATTCCTGGCCAGGCCACTAAACCCCCTTTAGCCTTCTATCTCCCTCTGCAAAATGGACTGAGAAAGCCTGAAGCCCCCTCCCAGGGTGGGGCTGGCTGGGGCGCCCTGCTGAGGCCAGAGAGCTGAGAGTGCTGATATTTGTTCAGGTGTCCCCTGGGGCCCTGCCTCTGCTGCAGACAGATGTGGTTTGAGTCTTGGCCCTATCACTGACCAGCTGGGTGGCGCCCAGCAGTCCTCCCTCTCAGATCATCAGTGTCTTAGGGCGTAAAACTCCCTAAGTTTTACAGGGGCCTCTGTCACAGGGTTTTGATGATGACTTGGAAAGAAGGGGCAGGGGAACTTTCAGAGGAGTGCCCAGGGGTGACAGGATTTTCATTGTCTGGTAAGACAGAGTGGCCTGTCTGGAAGATTCCACCCAATTGAATGGTGGATACCACTCCAGCTGTGTGGAGACCTGGGAGTGGTGGGTGAACCAGACGCACCTCTTGATAAGCTGAAGGCAGAATAGTTAAGATCCCTGAGGAATGATGGTTGTAAAGCCCATGGGCTTCTATTGGGGTGCCACCCCCCACCCTCAGTGAAGGGAGCAAGCCTAGGATGCTATTTAAGGTGTCTTTGCTCTGGGCCTGGAGAAGACCTTCTGCAGAGCAACGTGAGAACCCTACCTCATAGGCGTGGGGGGAAGGACATAGGGCGGTCTCTTGGGCTTTGTCTTTCAGGGCCCATGTGGATTTTCAAATCTTCACAGAGACCCTTAAACTCCTCTTGATGTGAGAGGGGCAAAGTCATTTCCAAGATGCCAGGGTGAGTGCTAGGATGAGCCAGGCTTGAACCCCTGGATCCTAACTCTTCTCTTCTTACTGAGTTTCCTAGGGAAAATTCTTGGCATTAGGGTGTATGTTGGGCAAAACTTTGCCAGGGAGCCAGGCGCCTAGGCCAGCTCTTCTTCCTCTGACACCCATGCTTCAGCATGGTGACATCGGAAGGCTAAGCTGAGGGCCAGAGTGATTAAGGCAGGTGGGGTGACCAAATGCAAATCTCAACTCCATTGCCCACTGCTGGATGGTTTGGAAAAAGTGACTTTACCTCCCTGAGCCCCACTTTCTTTCTCTGGAGGAAAGAGAATTAACTGCAACCACCTCACAAGATTGGAGTGAGCACTGAACAAGATGAGCTCCTAAGGCATCCAGCAAGTGTACCCAGCAGGAAGGGTGACCCTCACAAATCAGTCTCATGGCTGCTATGAGGAGGGGTTGATCCTTGGAACCTGGATCCCTGAGCGGGCATGGGAACTAGAGGCTGAGGAGAAAGGAGGGTGAGGCCTAGGCAGCGAGACCGGTGAACATAGGCGGCCAGTCTGGGTGAGGGGCATATCTTCCTCACTGGCGCCATGTACCACAACAGCCCTTTGGAAGGGATCAGGACCTCATGGCTCCAGAGTTATGATTTTTTCAGTCCAGAAATCGGGTCAGGAGGCCAGGCTCTGTGGGCTGCTTCCTCATCCTGCCTTGTTCCTGGGAGGATTGTCCATCCGTGGGAACATCTTCAAGGGCGGAGGTGATAGATTGGACTTGGCCGGAACTCTGTGCCAGCAAGAGACTACACCACCAAGCAGACCCCTCCACTCCTGGGGGCTACTGAACATTGTACCAAGAGTCACAGTTGGTACCCAGAAACTCAGGACCATGGGGAGGGGAAGGCCCAGGATCCTATTGACACCAGATGAGGGAATCTCAGAAGCAGCTTCCTGGAAGACTGAAATAGCTGTTTCTCACATGCATTCAAGTGAGAAGTGCACTGTCTGCACCCACGAGTCATCATCAAAGCAGCTGCTCTGTGCCAGGCCTAGGTTGGCCTGGGGCAGCCAGAGGAACCAACCACACCTGTTCCCCCACCTACATCTTGAACTTGGATCCAAAGAAAAGGGGGTAGGGGCAGAGCCTATGTTCTAAACGGGCCTTCAAGGCAAATGCTTGCAGCATGGGGGCTCATGGCCAGGGCTTCTGCTTCAGGGATCATGACTGCTTTGTGGCTGAGCCGGGAATTCCCTAGAGGCTTGGGCTGTTTGCTTGAACTTCAGCCACAGGCCAGAGGTCTTAGAAAAGGAGCTCCTGCAAGGTGGTGCCCTATGCAACTAGTCCTGCCTGCTCCCCTCTCTACCTGAAATCCCTGCTCCTCAGGCAATACAGGGAATCCAGAACAGGGAGGTGACAGGCTCCAGAGGTGCATTTAATCGTACATTTGCCACAGGTGCAGAGTGGGAATACTGCACAGAGGACATTCCATATGACCCTTTTAGTAATTCTTTAGATTGGCACAATTTTCATTTCCTCTTTAGAAACAAGGAAACTGAGGCCCAAAAGGTGAGGTGACTTTCCTGAAGTCACAGCCATGAGAAGGAGGAATTGATCTGGTCTCTGACTTTAAAGCCCATGCCCTTTCCCCATCCACCTCCCCTACTGTACAGATGGGGGGAAACTGAGGCAGATAAGCCTGGGACCCCAGAGCCTACTCTGCGTGGTGTCCCACTGAGCCCCTCTGGAGTAGCCAGAGCCTTAGGGTAACTATGACCACATCCTCAGAGGAGAGGTAATGGCCCAGAACCTAACATCACACGTCCGCCTGTCGTAATTAGCAATGTTCCCTGGCTAGAGGCAGCAAATGTTATTAAGTGAGCTGGCTGGCAACTGCAATCCAATTAAAGAGGCCTTGCTGTGAAGGCTACAGTAGGTGCTCAGTGCTAGGAGCCTGAGCAGTAGAGGGGATACTCAATACCCCGCACCGTGATAACATTCCTAAGACCTAACCCCAGCTTCGGGCAAGGTGGAAAAGATTGGCACATAGCCTATGTTTGATAGGGCTTATGCGAGCCTGGAGGATGCTTGGGCTTGGTGCACCTGGTGGGCTACAGGTGATGCTGTAACCCAGGACCCACAGGTAGGAGCTCCAGCCATGAGTTTGGCCCATTGCCAGCTCTGCCTTACCCTAACCATGTGACCAAGGGCACATGACTTCTCTCTGAGCCTCAGTTTGATTATCTGCAGCATTGGGCTAAGACTGCACATCCTGGGGTGCTCTGTGAGCTCAGTAGGCATTTGCTGCTTCTGTGATCATTGTCTTTCTCATACTTGCATCTCCCTCTAGACCTCCTGCCCCCCGAGGTCTGCAGTCTCCTGAACCCAGCAGCCATCTATGCCAACAACGAGATCAGCCTGCATGATGTTGAGGTATATGGCTTTGACTACGACTACACACTGGCCCAGTATGCAGACTCACTGCACCCAGCGATCTTTAGTGCTGCCCGTGACATCCTTATTGAGCATTACAAGGTAAGGCAAGCTGAGCAGGGAACCCAGGCCCTCCAGGCTGGCTGGCTGGGAAGGTGGCTATATTAATCCCCCAAGGCAGCTGCCCAGCCAGCAGGTCTGGCAGTGCCACTGGCTCAGGCCTGGCCCACTTTCCCCCAACAGTACCCAGAGGGTATTCGGAAGTATGACTACAACCCCAGCTTTGCCATTCGTGGCCTCCACTATGACATTCAGAAGGTGAGTGGCTAGACCACTGACTCCCTGCCCCCTCCTGACTAGATGTGTTTCAGGGCCACTTCCTTAGCACCCCTATCCCCTATGGGGAGGACTCCTCATCTGTCTTCCACTTTGGCCTCAAAGCAGTAGCTTCCTCTTGGCGTGTACATGATCCCCTTGATACCATTCAATTAGGGTTGGAAGAGGCTGGCTCATGGCCAATGGCAAACTCCTTTCTCATCGCCTGTCCCACTCCCCTGGTGCCCCCAGAGCCTTCTGATGAAGATTGACGCTTTTCATTATGTGCAACTGGGGACAGCCTACAGGTCAGCCTACCCTGACCCCACAGCAGCCCACTCCAGGTCCATGTTGTCCTTCCTAACCGCACTGTCCCCTGCCCTATGGGGCATGGGATCAGGACCACTTTGGATCGATGATGTCTGTGTGCCCAACCAGGGGCCTGCAGCCTGTGCCAGATGAGGAGGTGATCGACCTATATGGGGGAACCCAGCACATTCCACTGTACCAGATGAGTGGCTTCTATGGCAAGGTACTCACTGCTGCTGCTGCCCAGGGAAGCCCCTGGGAGGCCGTGCCCACACCCCAGTAGGCCAGCCCTGACCCACAGGCTGCACCCCTCTACCAGTATCGTCAGGTAGATTTGGAGCCCTTTGTCTCCAGAGCTGGGGGTTGTGGGGCTGAAGGGGTTGCTGAGTCGGTGGCTCCCTCCCCAGGGTCCCTCCATCAAGCAGTTCATGGATATCTTCTCACTGCCGGAGATGGCACTGCTCTCCTGTGTGGTGGATCACTTCTTGGGCCATGGCCTGGAGTTTGACCAAGCACACCTCTACAAGGACGTGACGGTGAGAATGCTGGGCCTGCTTGGGGTGGCAGAGAGGGCGAAGTCCAGTCACAGCAGACCAGGCCATCCTGGCCCCACTGCACCCTCACTGTCCCTCCCCTGCCCCCAGGACGCAATTCGAGACGTGCATGTGAAAGGCCTCATGTACCAGTGGATCGAGCAGGACATGGGTAAGGGTGGACAGTAGCTGCTGCGGCATGCCCGGGCAGGGTGTGGGGTGGTTCTCACAGAGCCATCTCCTCCTGTTAGAGAAGTACATCCTGAGAGGGGATGAGACGTTTGCTGTCCTGAGCCGCCTGGTGGACCATGGGAAACAGCTGTTCCTTATCACCAACAGTCCTTTCAGTTTCGTGTGAGCATTGCTCCCCCGTGGGAGGAGAGAGCAGGGTGGGGGCCAGGTAGGGGTGGGCAGGCCTGAGCCTCCCTCAGACCGCCTGCCACTCATCCCATCTCTGCCCAGGGACAAGGGGATGCGGCATATGGTGGGTCCCGACTGGCGCCAACTCTTCGATGTGGTCATTGTCCAGGCAGACAAGCCCAGCTTCTTCACCGACCCACGCAAGTATGGGCCTGGCAGGGTTGATGGGGCCAGGGAACGGGGACTGGCCTCTGCTCACCACTCAGTATGCTTGGGGTGGAGACATCCCCTTGCTGGCGTGTGGCTCACCTGAGTAGGTGGGCCTTTGCAGAGTGGGGTAGTGCCTGGCTTGTGGTCCTGCCACAGACTGGAAATCAAGGCCTTTACCCCCGACCCCACCCTACCCTAGGCCTTTCAGAAAACTTGATGAGAAGGGCTCCCTCCAGTGGGACCGTATCACCCGCCTGGAAAAGGGCAAGATTTATCGACAGGTGAGGACCATGTAGTTGGGAGGAGCACCTGGTGGGGGCCACAGGGCTAACCAAAGCCCCAGGTGGAGGGGGCAGTGGCATGGCCTTCTGGACCCTGACCAGCCACCACACATCTACCATGTGTCTGTCCCCTTGCACCATAGGCCTGCATCTGGGGCACCAGGGAATGGCATTCAGGGCACAGGCCTGGGCAGTATCTAGGGCTTAGCTTCTGGGTCAGGTTGCCTGCATTTGAATTCTAACTACATTTCTTGATATCAGAGAGGGTGTCTGGCCAAATTATTTGGCCTCTCTGTGCCTTGCTTTCCTCATCTGTAAAAGATATAATTGAGTTGTGATGGCAAGGCCTTAGACTGGCTGGGCATTTGCTAAGTGCCCAGTAAATGCCACTGTTATTACTTAGGGCTGAGCACTTTGCTACAGCTAGACACGCCTGGTCGGGGTCCCTGAGTTGGGCTGGTGTGGGTAGCCCACAGTCGTCTAGGGAGATTCCCTTTCCTGGCTGGCTAGGAAGATGAGAAGGGGCATGGTGTGGGCATGGGTTTGGTTGGTGGGGTGGCTCTGAGCATTTGGCCCTGGATGGAATGCGGAAATCCTGGCTAAGCTGGTGAGCTGGGCTTCTTGGGGGCAGGGAATCCAGAAGCTGGGGGAGGGAGGAAGCCAGTGGTTGGAGCAGCTTCAAGGTACCCAGTATGAACGCCCAGCCTGCAGGCAGTACTCACACCCCTGCCCACTGCTCAGCCTCCCTGTTGGACCCCAACTATCTAGCCTCCTCCCTGGGGTGCAGGCTCTTCCCCTCAGCTCTGAGGGTGATGACCTCCTTTGTCTGGGCTCTTGGCTAAGCCTGAGTGTGCGTGTATGTGTGTGGGGGATCCTACCTGGTTCTCATCTTTCTTTGCTCTCTCCGCCTCTTCCCTCCCTCTCTCCTATTGCTGGAACCTCAGACTATCCTTGCTGACTCAGCTCCTGCACCTCAAGATTCTTTTGATTCATTCAAGGCACAACCTCTCTGCCCATCATATCTCCCTCTTCAGAGGGGTTCCCTGCTCCTCAGCCTCTCCACTCAAGTTTATTTCAACAGTGAAGTCTTTCACAACCATTTGTACCTCCATGACTTTCATCTCCCGCGGCCTCTCACATGCACGAGCTTCTCTAGTAACTCCTTTTTGCTGACTCTCAGTTCTCAGCTGGGGTGTAGGCTCCTGCCCTGTGGTGGTTGCACTTCCTGCTCGGCCCCTCTCCCCCAGTTTCTGCTCTCCTACAAGCTTCTTCTGCTGTGTTTGAGCCTGGCTGAGTGTTTTCATCTTTTCTCCGACTTTGGAGTAAGAAGGGCAGACGGCCTCACAGTGAGGTCTGCCATTGGTCTGCTGGGTCCCTCTGGGCTCAGGCTGGAGAGGCTAGGAAGACTTCAGAGCTGTGAGGCTGCTGCTGCAGTTCGTTTCCCACAAACTGGACTTAGTCCCTAGCCTGGGGCGGGTGTGAGGCCACAGGGCAGGGAGACCCCAGGGGTGCAGGGCACCATGCCAGGCCTATAAGAGACCTTCCTGCAGCAGGCAGACCCCCTTTCTGAGCATGAGAGGGAAGTAACAAGAGCCAGAGCCAAGAGGGGACAGCGAGGCCGCGGGAAAGGGCAGCCCAGCATCCGGCTAGAGGGACCTTGCTACCTCTGGGGATTCGGGAGGACGGGTAGAGAGCCAGGCATGCTTCTGGCAGCCCCATGGGAGCCCTTTGGGCGCACTGGTCTCAGCAGTGTTCCCCCACATCCTCCCAGGGAAACCTGTTTGATTTCCTGCGTCTGACAGAATGGCGTGGCCCCCGTGTGCTCTACTTTGGAGACCACCTCTACAGTGACCTGGCGGTGAGGAGGGCAAGACTGGGCCGCAGGGGAAGCGGAGGGAGCCCCCTAGCTGGTGCTGAGCCCTGTCCTCTGCCCTGCCCCCCAGGATCTTATGCTGCGGCATGGCTGGCGCACAGGCGCCATCATCCCCGAGCTAGAGCGTGAGATCCGCATCATTAACACGGAGCAATACATGCACTCGCTGACGTGGCAGCAGGCACTCACGGGACTGCTGGAGCGCATGCAGGTGCGGAGGCGGGGGTGGCTGGGATGTCCTGGGGGAGGGACAGGGCCTGCTACCTGGTCACATACCCAACATACACTTCGTCTCCCCCAGACCTACCAGGATGCCGAATCAAGGCAGGTGCTGGCTGCCTGGATGAAAGAGCGGCAGGAGCTGAGGTGAGCAGGGCAGGGCCAGGGCAGGAATCTGGGGCCCAGCCCCATCCTGTGCGGCCCCTCAAGTACCCCGTGTCACCTTCCCCAGGTGCATCACCAAGGCCCTGTTCAACGCTCAGTTTGGGAGCATCTTCCGCACCTTCCACAACCCCACCTACTTCTCTCGGCGTCTTGTGCGTTTCTCCGACCTCTACATGGCCTCCCTCAGCTGCTTGCTCAACTACCGCGTGGACTTCACCTTCTACCCACGCCGTACACCCCTGCAGCACGAGGCACCACTCTGGATGGACCAGCTCTGCACCGGCTGCATGAAGACACCCTTCCTCAGTGACATGGCCCACATCCGCTGAGAGCAACTTTATTGTCCAGAACAGGCCCCTGTCCTCCCTGCCCCGCCAACTCTGGGCATCTGTCCAGACAGGCAGTAAAGTGGTTGCCCTCCTGCTCGAGCCTCTGCTTCAGCCCCAGGCGTGTCACTTGACCGCAAGGATCCTCTGGGTGTCAGGGAAGTCCTCCAGAAGTGAGTCCTGTGGGGAGGATCATGTGTAGCTGGGCTGAGACCAGGCCCTGGGCCCATTCCCACACCCCCCTGCCCCTATACTCACATCGAAGGGCTCACAAAAGGTGTCATGGCTGCCAAAGACTGGGTTGGGGACAGAGACCAGGGCTGGGCTGGTCCCTTCCTGCCATGGGGAGAAGTCATCATCAGCATCATCTTCTGCCTGAGAAGAGAGGTGAGTGGTTAGGGGCCTTCGGCAAGACTGATGGACTCCACCCTACCCCTAACCCAACCCTACCTGGAAAGCAGAGAAGCCAAAGCCTGTGGCCTTGGCTCGAGCACGGAGGTAGATGGCTCCAGCCACCAGGCCCAGCAGTGTTCCAGTGGCTACCACAGCCCCAACACCTGTTGCCACGGATGGGGCCTCAGGTGCCACCACTGCCCGCTACAAACAAGGAGAGCATCAAGGACCTGGTTGGAGCTGTCCCCTGACCCCTTGCAGCTCTGCCTGTCCCCCACCTACTCACAGGCTGTGGGGGTGCCAGGAGGGGGCTGGCCAGAGCATGGATGATGCCATTGAAGGCCATGATGTCCCACACGATGACATGACTAACCACAACTGCCCCTGGGTCCTGTAGGGAGACCAGAGTCAGGCCCAGTGGTGAGTGAGGGCCAGGGCCAGCAGGGAAGGGGCAGTGACCAGACTTACCACAGGAGCCCAAGAACTGTTGCCTGTGCCCACATCATTGATGACAAGGCTGACGCCTGAGTGGGAGGGGAGCAAAGTACCCTGGCTGATGTTGGTTCTCAGGAAGGTAGTGTTGGAGGCGTGTAGCTCCAGGTCTGGGCCACCCAGCGTCTGTGGGCAAAGCAAAGGCCCTGTTGGCCCGGGCCAGCCAGAGGGAGCAGGATCAGGCCATACCCCTGCTAGTTACCATGTTGTCCACAAAGCCTTCGTTGACAGGAACAAAGAGTGTCTTGTAGGTGAGCTCATCGTCCAGGAAATCCAAGAAGTCAAGACCTCGGGGAGTGGCATTGGCATAACCCAGCAGCATCTGGGAGGGTGGCAAGACAGGGCTGTGAGTGGACTCCCTCCCCAGGGGTCCCAGCTACCCTACACCCCTTGGCCCCCTGCACACCCCGTAGAAGGTGGAGAAGTTGGTGGTGGCAGCCAGTACATCAAGCAGCTTCCCATTGCACGTGCTGGTCCCATCACCCACAAAGCCATCACGGCATCTACAGGCCACGTCTGTGGGAAAGAGGGTTCGATAGGTTGGTGGATTGGTGGGAAGGGGCGGAACTAGAGAGTGAAACGTGGTTGGGGTGGCTGCACCTTGCACACGGTAACAGTAGGCATCCCAGCGCTCTGACAGATTCTTCCGGGTCCCTAGGCTGACTACGCCCACTTGACCATCACCACAGTCTGCCGCAGGGAAGACGACAGGGTGGGCAGCCGAGCCATTGGCCAGCCAGCCCACAAGGCACAGGTGGAAGCCCAGCTGTAAGGACAGGAAGGGGATGCTGAGACCCAAGGCCCAACTTGAAGGGCTCCTACGGGCCTGGCTCCATGTTCCTGGGCCCCACGCACCTGCTGGGCAGCAGAGAGCTGAGTGACAGAAGCAAGGACAGCTCCCTGAGCTCCACATGCTGCCTCAGCCTCTGAGAAGTTAAGACCATAAGAGCTACTGGTGGCCTGGAGGTGAAAGACACCAGCCCGTTTCTCTGCAGAAGGGAGGGATGAATGGTCAGCCAGAGACACTGAGGTGAGGCAAGGGCACTAGGAGGAGGCAGGGAAGCATACCCTGGAAGTGCAAGTCAGTGCACACGGCATCCATGTGACAGGGTGGGGGCTGGCCTAGACAGCGGTCCACAGGTGGCTCAGGCTCTTCCAGACACTGCAGTCCGTCACCCACATAGCCAGCATGGCACACACAGCGCCGTGTGTTCTGGGGCAGGAGAGCAGGCAGGAACCCTTCAGGGACTGGGGAATTTACTCTGTAGGGCTTCCCTACCCAGCTGCTTGGCTCCTCTCCTGCTCACCGGGCCAGTGCTCAGGCAGTCGGCATGCTCGCTGCAGCCCCCACGGTGGCTGTCTTCACAGGGGTTGCGGGCTCTGCAGCTCCAGCCATCACCCTCATAGTCTGGCAGGCAGGCGCAGGTGACCACTGTGCCTACCTGACTGCAGTTGGCATGCTCACTGCAGCCGCCACGCCCATCCTGGCACAGGTCTGCCACTGAGGGCAGGGAGAGAGTGCTTGGACCAGGTGGCAGGAGGGGAGTGGGGCCTCCCACCTCACGTCCCCACCCACCTGCTCACCTGTGCACATGCGTCCGTCCCCTTCATAGCCCAGGCTGCACTCACAACTGTTGCCCGCACGGCATACTGCCTGGGGTGCGCAGGGTGGCGCACACACAGGCTGCAGCTCTGTTCCCCAGGGCCCACCCCACATATCCAGGTTAGTAGCTGTCGTCCTGGATGCCCCCAGGTCCCCTCCCAACTACCCTCGGTCCCTCTATCTGCATGTGCAGTTGGCCATGCGCTGGTGTGTCCATGGTGGGCACAAGGACAAGGGCCACTCACCCAGCTGCACCTCACAGCGTGGCCCAGTCCAGCCCTCATCACAGAAGCAGGAGCCAGAACCCCCAAGGCCCTCATCACAGTGGCCATGAAAGGTGCAGCGGCAGGCTGGAGAATGGGACAGGCAGGAGGATGGAGTCAGCACACAGGCCAAGGGAATCAGGGGGTAGGGTGGGGCAGGGCGGGGAAGGACAGCGCACCTTGGCAATGGGGCCCAAAGGCTCCTGGGGCGCAGAGTTCACAGGCTGTCCCAGCAAACCCCAAACGGCACCTACACTGCCCACTGCCACTCATGCCGTCCATGCACACGCCATGGTCACTACAGGGGTGGCTGGCACCCCCAGGACAAGCTAGGAGATAGAGTAGGAGAAGTGAGGTGGGGGCCAGGGCTCTCATCAGGATTCCCCACTCATGCATCTCCAGCCCAGCCACACACCGTCCATCCTCCACCCATTGGCAGCCCAGGATCTTCCAGAAACAACAACCCACCCATGTCTCCATGCTGCTGAGAATGCTCCAGGCTCCCATGATCTGGAGAACACCCAGACCCCCCCCACCCCAGCATACCCTACCAAGTTCTGCACCATCTACACAGCCACTCCACCTCTTAGAGCATTCTCTCCTGGTAAAATCCACTCACCACCCCCCAGACCCACCTCGCTCCTGAGTTTTCCAACACCCCTCAGAAATAATAGCCAGAGCTTGCACTGGGCTATCTTGGATGCTCACCTCGGCACTCACTGCCATAGTGACCAGGGCAACAGCTGGGCTTCCAGGTGGTAGTGACACAGTTGCGGTGGCATCCCCTTCCCAGACCTTGGGGCTGGCCCCAAATGCTGCGCAGTGCCAAGGAGCGCAGTGGAGGGGATGTCCAGAACTTTGAGTAGTAGCGCCAGCAGGCCTGGGGGCTACCCTGGGCCAAGAGGAGCCGGGCTGCAAACTGCCTGAGCTTGGTGGTCCCTGGGCCCTACCCCGACCCCCACCCAGCTCCCAGCCCCTTACCTGCTCCTGTGAGCCCTCAGGACAGGGAGGTTCCCGCCCACAGATGCTGCAAATTTTCTGGAAGGAATAGAGGCCAACACAGCAAGGTCAGGTGAATGGGCAGTACAGGTGGGCTTGGGCTCCTGCCCATCCACCCCTAGCCTCCCTCACCAGCCACAGTGGCCGAGTCTCAAAGCGGTCACAACGGGCACCAAGGCCAGGTGGTTCCAGCAGCTGGTCGATGCCGTAGGCCAGGCCACCCTCAAAGGGCAGGTGCCGCTGCACAATATGGGCGTCATCCTCACCCACTATGAGTTCGCCCTGCAGGTTGAGGATATGGGGCATGTGGGGGTCCACAGTTGTGCTGCGGCCCCTCCCATGCCAGGACCCCTGCCTCCTTCCCTCATTCAAGCTTTCTCTCCAGACTTACTGGCCGGGCAGGGCTACAGGAGAAAGAGATGGGAGTCCCATGCATGGTGCGGAGCGGTCCCAGGTTGGGCAGGTCAGATGCCAAGGCCTGAGCAGATGGAGCCATGGTTGGAGCTGGGTAGGCAGGCTGCCATTGGCAGGCAGTGGGGACCAAGGCCTAGGGGTGTACCCACCTCGATGTTGCGGATCACATGGCCCCGCAGAATGGCTGCCAGCTTGTCACGGTGGTCCTCGTGGTACAGCCAGGCCTGGCGATCAGGTGGCAAGGCTCGCAGGGCAGAGTCTGTGGGCCACAGCATTGTGAAGGGTCTGTGGGACACATCTCGAAGCAGGGGCAGGAGACCAGCCATCTGGGGAGGAGAAGCAGAGGTATGGTAATCACAGACTAGTCGGAGCCTGGTGGGCAGAAGTAGCGGGCTAAACCCAGAGATGAGGAAGGGGTTCCAGGGACCAAGGTAGCCTTTTCACCAGCCACACTCTTCTGCCATCCCAGGCCGGTATTATACATGGACATACATGCAGGCTAAAGCTTGACTGTTGTCTGGTATGCAGGCACATATAGCATGCCCTTGTGCTCCTACTGGGAAGCTCATGCACAATGGCGTCACCTCTGCACAGATGTACTCAATCACATAAAGGACAGGTTTGCCCATAGATGGGGGTGTGCACAGACAGGGGAGCGTACACACAGTTGCACACACATTTGACAGTCACTCACATATATATACATGTGCACATATGCTCACACTAACAGATCCACACATGGGAGCAGTACCTTCACAAGGCTACTGAAAATCTTGTAACCGAAGCTATCCGCAGCAGCGGTGACATTTCTCTAGGGAAAGGCGCTGGTGAGCAGTGAGGTCAGTCGGGGAGAAACGATCCCAAGCCCCCAGCCACCTGTCTTCGGGCTCCCAGGCCCATGCCCAGGGCATACCCGTGGGGTTGGGGCAGCCTCAGGCTCCCAGTGTAGAACGTCGGGCGGCAGCAAGACATGGTCAATGAAGTGCAGGATGCCATTCACCGCCTGGTGGTCACTGCTCACCACTCGTGCGAAGTCATTGAGATATATGCTGCCCTTGGGGGCAAGGCACGGGCACATGGGGGTGGAGCCGGGACTGAATGAAGCGGATCAGTGGGGTGGGTGGGGCCTGAGGTAGGGGTGGAGCCTGGGCTGGGCAAGTCTTGAGTGGGGTGAAGACAGCAGGTCTCACCTCCCTCCCAGGGAAATAGCTGCGGGCCAAGTGGGAGCGGGGAGCGGGGCACCAGCATAGGGCCAGGCTCAGAAGTCTTGAGCCCGGAAACAGGTTCATGGTAGTGGGTGGAGTCCGGGGCAGGACTCTACTCGGTCTCACTGAAGCCCGCCCTGGCCCAGGAGAAGTGAGAGGGTCTTAAACACATGGGGACAGGGCACAGGAGTGCAGGGGCGGGGCCTTAGCTGCAGAGTCCTGGGTCTGTGGACCACCCATGTCGGAGACCCGGCTTGGGCTCACCTCCCTCTCGCTGAAGCGCAGCGGGTGCCCTGAGAGCGTGGTAACATAGCCCTCCTCTAGCAGATCCTGGCTCCGCAGCTGCCGGCAGCCGACAACGTGGTAGCGAAACACGAGCTGGCTATGGGCTCGAATCCGGGCCAGCTCATCCTGGAGTGGAAGTCGTGAGGGTAGAAGGATAGGAAGTTGTGAGGGTCCCTGACTGTGCCTTTACCTACCCCTGCGCTATGCTCATCCCTCCCCTTGCTCCCGGGGTTTGCCTTACCTGCGACAGGTTGGTCATTAGATCCGCATGTGGCACGAAGATTGTGAAAGGCCCTTTGCCCTTGAGCTCATTGTATTTCTGGAGAGGGGAGGGAGAACAGCTTGAGTGGAAGAGGGCAACGTGGGACCAACTCAGGGCTTCCATGGATCTTCTGTGGAAAGACTCAGACTCTGAGAAACCAGACTGCTCAACGCCCTGACCAAATGAGAACATGAATGCCCACAGAGAAGTAGGACCTGCAGGTCAAAGAAGCCCAAGCAGGACCTAGGAAATGGAGGCCAGCTGGTCACTCACCAGGAGGTGGAGGCTGAAGAATGAGGCATGTCTGTCCCGAAGGAGCTCCTGGGGGGGCGAGGATCAGCTCAGATTTTGGGTGGCCCCCATTCAGGGCCTGGTGCCTGGCCCAGCGCCTGCGGCCCAAGGTCTGGCCAAGGCAGAGATGAGGAAAGGAAAGCCAGGGGGTTCTGAGCTGGGGTCAGGATTAGTTTCATGAATCAAAACTGGGTCAGGCCCAGGTGGAGTCAGGGGTCAGGGTCAGGAAATCTGGAGTCTTAACCATGGATCAGGCCTAAGCGGGGCATAGCCAAGGTTGGGTCAGGGGTATGACTTGGGCATCATTACCAGGCTGACTCTAGCACGGCAGGTGAAACCATCACCCACAGTGTGGGCTGCATCACAGGTGCACATCCTCTGGCCATCCCCTGTGCTTTTGCACACAGCATAGGGGCTGCAGCCTCCATTACTCTGAGGCAGGGATAAGAGAGAGAGGCATCAGTGGCTCCCAGGACTTCTCTGCCCCAACCAGCCCTGGGGAAGGGCCATGAAGGTTCCTGTCCAAACCTCCAAAGCCCTGTTTCCTACTGATCAGACTTGAGCTTGTGGGAAGGGTGGCTCTCCCTTCAGAGGCCCTTAAAACCCTGCTGGGGGCAAAGAAAACTGTTTCCAGCCTTAGTCTCCTCCCCCTGTAAAATGAGATGGGCCTGGGGGCCTCACCTGGGAGCAAGGGTCCAGGAGATCGCAGGTCCGGATGCCATCCCCGCTATAGCCCTCGCGGCAGCTGCAGGAGACCTGTCCCAAATCCTGGTCAGTGGGGCTGCTGGAACCCAAGAGGGGACCAGCGCCCTGGACAGAAGGAGCACCCCCAAGCCTTGTCGGGGGGGCCCCACCCTATGGGGGAATGGCACAGCCCCAGTGTCCAACCCTGTTGTGCTGACCTGCTGGGGGCCTGTGGGGATACATTCGGCATGCACGTGGCAGCCCCCGTGGCGAATGAGACAGCCGTTAGCTTCTGGGGGAAAAGACACTAGGATGAGGGGCGCCCTAGGCAGCCCCTCCATTCATCTGTCAGTCCAGGTTCTCATCCCCTGCTCTCAGCACCCTCAGGCCTCACACCCCTGTGTGCCCCCGAGCTGTTCCTCCTCTAACTCAGACCACTGAAACGAGACACCCAGCCCTGTATGCACCCGGAAGGGATCCCAGCTTCACCCTGGCACAGCTCCCCATCGCCTGTGTAGCCGTCCTTGCAGGTGCATGTCCGCTGCCCAGGTGCCACCTTGGTGCAGTTGGCGTAGGGGGAGCAGCCTCCATGGTCATGGGCACAGGGGTCCACTTCTAAGGGTAGATGATCCCAGAGAGTTGTGAGGAGCAGGCAAGAGGACCGAGTGGAGACAGGGAAGGAGGGCGTGGGGGAAAGAAAAGGTCAGAGGGATGGCTAAGACCAGAGATGGGACAGGGAAAGGGACTGGATCTAGAGGGAGTGGAGAGGACTCTGCAGGGAAAGCCGCCCCCAAATTTCAGAGAGAGCCCGAGGCATCGGTATAGCTGGACCTGAACAATAGGTGCCGTTGCCTGAGTACCCTGCGGCACAGATGCAGACAGGGACTGCTGCCGATTCCTGTACACAGCTGGGAGGGATGGCAACAGTCAGCCTATGCCCCCCAGCTCCTGCCTTGACCCCAGTCCCCCCACCCACTTGCCCATCCGCTTTAGGACCGGCTCACTCACTTGGCATTGGGGTCACACTTCTCTGGGCAGTGAGGGCCAGTGATTTCTGGGGGGTAGGAAGATGGGATGGTTCTGGTCATTCAGACCCAGGAACCACCTCCCAGGGAGCACCTGCCTCCCCTTTGGAGCTACTCACTCTGGTCACAGCGGAGGCCCTGCCAGCCCACATTGCAGACACAGCTTCCGTCCCCTTGCAGCCCCTCCTGGCATAGCCCATGGGCACAGTCACACACTGAGGGCAGACAGGGGAAGATGGGAATTACTCATTGCCTCCGTCCTGCCTTTGCCGGGGTATCACTATGACCGCCGTCCTCCGCCAGGTTGCCCACCATTCCTGCCCCCTCCCCATCCTCACCTCCGGTGCAGTTGGGCCCGTAGCGGCCCAGCTCACACATCTCACAGGCGGTTCCGTGAAAGCCCTCATGGCAGCGGCACTCCCCATTGCCCAGGAGCCTGTCCTGGCACTGTCCATGGCCCGAACACACCCCACCCAAACCCCCCGGGCATGGCTCACACAGTGTGCCGAAGAAACCAGGGCAGCAGTCAGGTACCTGCGGGAGGGAATGCAAGGAGAAGCCCAGCACAGGCCGGGACAGATGTCAAGGGAAAGCAAAATGTCAAGAAGGGCGAGAGTATCTTGGGGCCGCAAAGCCACAGAACAAAGCAAGTTGGACCCAGGGAAATGGAGACTGCTCTCCACAACCCCCCCACAGACCCCACAGTGAGGGGCAGAGCTGGACCCAGTTGCTGCCCCTGGGCTTGGCTGATGGTGTCATCTCTGGGCCTTTCTCCTCCCCAGCCCCTCTTTCTGAGGGCTTGGCCATAGGAACAAATACTGGCCCCTCTGACTTCGGCCCTCTCTCCTTTGCCCTTCTTCTGGCCCTTGCTTCACTGGCCTCAGCCAAGTCCCAGCCCTGCCTCTGCCCTTGAAATCTAATCCAGGCTCCTCCTCTGGGCCCCCACTGCCATCTCCTTCTCTCTGGTTGAAGATCCGGGGATGAGGAAGTTCAGGGCAAACCTGGATTTTCTTGGCACACGTGTAAGAACAGCCCCGGGAAAAGGAATAGCCAGATCGGTAGACACAGCTCTTCTTGGGGGTGTTCTGGAAATGGGGACAGGCAGGAGACAGACAGACAGACAGACAGACAGACAAACTAGGTATCAGTGGGTGACACAGGCAAGCAGGATAGCAGAAGGGACAGGGAGAGGCTGAGACAAATAAACCTGATGAGGAGAGGGAGGGCAGGATCTCGGCCTGGGCCACAGGGTCCCAGGCCTTCGGGGGCAAATCTGAGGGAGGCCTGCTCTGGGCAGACCTGGGCCCAGGCCTCCTGGCCACCATCAGGGAAGGTGAGCAGCCCATGCCATTCTAGTTCCCCAAGCCTGGGCAAGCAGAGCTGGGCCCCAGGGATTGGACACCTCGAGAGAACTGAGAGCAAATGAAATAGGGATGGAATTGTGCCAAGCCCAGTCTCACCTCCAGCTGGAAGCCCTGAGTGCAGCGGAATTTCCGGGTGCAATTTATACATTTTTCCTAGGGGGAGGAAGGGCAGAGAGTCAGGTGCTCCTGGGGAGGGGGCCAGCAAACCCGCCTTCCTTCCTCCAGGGCAGGCTGACAGCTCTCCCACCCCTGACAAAGTGCCCGACCCCGCCAGCAAGCGCCTCCCAGCTCTGAGCTCCACAGCTGCCCTCCTCTAGCCCAGCCTCTCACCCGCAGAGCCTCTGCGTGGCTGTGTAGGCAGCGGCTTGAGCCCACCGTCAGGATCCCCGAAAGACCAAACAGTGAGCGGCCAGGGGCCTGCAGCACAGGGCCTTCCAGCGGCACATGGTTCACTTCAGGCTGAGGAGTGGGGCAGGAAGCTGAACCCAGCTCACCCCGACCAACCCTCACCCTGGGAGTTACGAGCCAGGGAGGGCCTCAGGGCTGGGACCATCTCCATGGATGGGGGTCTCCCAGGCCGGGCAGTCCCTGGATCAGAGGTTGGAGGCTCCCAGCAGGAAGAACTCCAAAGGGGATGGGCCTTCAAGAGTGGAGTGCCTAGGGGAGGGTCTTGTCCCCACAAACCTGGCCACTATGGTTGTAGAAGACAAGCCAGTGGGCGGGGCCCAGGAGGGAGTTGCGGTGTCCACCCCTCCGCAGGGCTTCCATGGAGAGTGCCTCCCCCAGGACCACATGATGTCGCACTATGTCCGCATCCTGAGGGGAAGGAGAAGCTCAGGGGCTCCAGGACTATCAAGTGCCTTGGATAGTGGTGTTCCTCCCACTGCGTCTCTTTGCCAAGGGATAGGAGGCTCACCCTCTGAGCCTTCGCCCTTGCCCCTCGGTCACCCCTGTCCCAGTGACCTCACCAGGCTGCTGCTGTTGCCCTGGGCCTCCAGAGAGCGGTTTGTGGGCACGAAGATGGTGTAGGCAGTGGCAGCCTCAATCTGGGGCACCAGACCGTGGTGCTAGGGACAGGGGGCCGGGATCAGAGATGGGCATAATTGCCCTCGGTCCTCACCCCGGGAGCCAGCCAGCGACCTCCGCACATGGTGGTGGAGTGCCCCTGACCGAGCACCCCGCTCTCTTGCCCTTACCTGCAGCAGTTCCCGGAAGAGGCGGAAAGCAGGCACTGAGTCCAGCTGCTGCAGCAACCCCTGCTCACCCAGTACGTCCTCTCTTGGAGGCAGCAGGACCTGGCGAAGAGTATGGGGGCTGGTCAGTGTGTCACTGCTTCTTGGCTGCATAGAAGGTTCCCTGCACACACTCCCTTCCAGCCATACCTGGCTGAGGACATGTAGGACACCATTGGTGGCAAGGAGGTCAGCCACGTCCACGCTGGCATTCTGCACCCAGACCCTCTGGAAGACAATAGGCAGAGCTCAGCTACAAGTGGGCACAGGTAGACACTTAAGAGTGGGTGTGACAGCAACGGAGAGGCTGCTGGGTGTCCAGGTGCCCACGGATGACCTCTAGCCTGGCCCAGACATACTCAGACTCAGGACCTACCAGATGGGTATGTATACCCTCAGCAGGGCCCATGCATGAGAGGGACAGTATGCACACGCAGACAGAGATGGGCAGGCAACTCTTGGCGGGACAGTCACTGCTAGCCAAAGACACAGCACAGCAGCAAAAGTGTCCCTGGCACACCCTCTGAGCAGGCGGAAGGGATCCCAATCTCAACCCTTGGGGGCCTCAGTCCAGGAAGCCTACAGCCACTCAAGTTTCCTCCTATGCCCTGCACGGTTCCTTCTACCCAGAGTTTACCGCATACCCCACTGATATTGCGAATTTCCCAGCGTGTGGTGGGGCTCAGCGTGGCCACCTCCTGCCCGCCCAGCTGGGCCAACTCCTCCTCAGAAAGGGCGACCTGAAGAAAATGAGCCCTAAGGGGGCACAGTTGGGGGGTACCATGGAACCAGGTTAGTTTAACCTACAGAGACCTCTGAGACTGAGCTCCATCCCCAAAGGTAGACACATGCCAGGCTGAGAACATCTGGGGAAGGGCTGGGTCTTGCACAAAAGCCCCCTCCCAGAGCCTGGCCCTGCCTGCCCACCTGACCAGGTGTGGCAGCATCCTTGGCTGCAGCCAGAAGGCCTGGTCCTCGGGGCTCAGCCTACGGATGGCAGACTCAGAGGGCACCAGGACTGTGACTCGGCTGTTGGCAGGAAGAGTGATGCTGGCTCTCTGTGTGTGAGGTGTGCAGAGGGACAGGAGGAAGATGAAGGCAGCCGCCATCTTAAGATTACCTGCTCCCAGCCTCTAGGCCCGCCCCCACCTCCAGCGAATAGAGATGTTATGTGGCACCCCTGTATTCAGGGAGACCTCCTGGATTTGAGCCCCAATCCCAGCATTCTGCCCTGTGCTACCTTGATCCACTGGTAGAAGATGGAGAAGTGGGCATTTGCCTCCAGCTCCTAAGGGAAGAGAAAGAGCCGAGATCATGGGCTTAAGGACAAAGCAGAGCCTCCCCTCCCCCCCAGGGCCCTGAGTACTGCCCCTTCCCACCCGAGGTTCATAGAGAACCCCTTCCCAAGCTCAGGGAACCACTCACCTGGAAGACGTCTCCATAGCAGCTGAAGCCATCACCCCCATAGCCAGGGGGGCATGTGCAGACCCGCTGACCTCCCCCTACTGCCTGGCAGGTGGCCTGGGGTGAAGGTGGGACAGAGAGACATGTCCCTTCCTTCAGCACCCATATGGAGAGCTGGATAACACCCATTCTCCATCTCTCTATCCACCCTTATCACACCCCCTCCTTCTGTCTGTCCACCTGTCACCACTCTTTCTCACTCCTTCCATTCAATCTGCATTCATGTTGGTCCTTTGGAGTGCCTGGCCCTGCCTTCCAGGATCACTGAGAATGTGACATGAGTTACCCACCCCATTGTGACAGATGGGTCACAGAAGCCCAGATCTGTGGGAGCACCCAGGAGGCCCTGGACCCTCAAAAGAGGCCTGAGTTGAGAGCAGGAGGAGCTAGCCAGACCAAAGGTGTGGTGCAGGAAGCCCTCCAGAATACCTGAGCAGAGATGTGGTGACATTAGAGCAGAATGAGGTCGGGAGACAACAAGAAGCTCAGAGTGGCCTTGCGGAAGAGAATGGAATGGGGGCAGCGGGGGCCAGGGCGAAGGGAGGAGTCTAGGCTGGGGCTGGGCCTTAATAAGGAGTGAAAGCTCTATCCTATGGGCAAGGATGTGACAGAGTTTGGATTTGGGGTTTAGAAAGATTCCAGTCCTGACCAGAGACAAGACATCCAGAGAGAGTGCAAGACTGCAGCCAATGCCCATCCCGCAGAGCCTCCCAGGCTCTGAGACTGCTCACCAGGTCATGGCAGCCACCGTTTCCTGCCCGGCAGGGGTCAATAGGGCTGCACACATAGCCGTCCCCAGCGAATCCCAGCTTACAGGTACACCGGCTCTGAAGAGGTTGGGAGCAGAGGGCCTCTTCTCACCAAGAGGACCTAACCCTTTCCTCCTCTACTCCTCAGCTCTTGATAGGCACTGTACCCTAGAGAGGCCTGCTCAGACCCCAGAGGAGCTTCTCCCAGCCCCACCCTTGGAGAGCTGTGTTTCAGATGGGGAAACTGAGGCCCTGAGGGTAGATCAGCTCTTGGTTTGAGTCTGATCGAGTGATGGCATCAGCAGGGAAGCATCCATGGAGGCTCTGTGCCCCTCTGCTCTCAGGCCTGGGCCCTGCCAGGGCAGGTGGAGTCAGCGGTGTGTGATGAGTGGGCAGGTGTTTGCCAAGGCCAGTCCCAGGGATGGCGGCTCAATCTCACCTCCAGCCCTGCCACTCTACCTGTCAGCTCTGATCCTTCCCACTAAATGACAGTGTCCTTAGGCTTGTCGCCACTGCAGGCGAGTTACCGGTGAGACTCCTCGAATCTCAGTTGCCCTTGTTTGCAAGCAAGGGGGTGTCTCAACCTGCTCATTTCACTCGGTTCTGAATGTTAAAGCTCCCGCTGGAGTTCGGACCTCCATTATTCATGGCCATCTGAGCTCTCACTGCTAAGGTCCCATGGGCTGGTGTCCCAGGCCATCATGGAGTGGGAGGACAGAGAGCCCCATGGGTCCTTGCACAGGTCTGGGCCATGCAGAGGCTGACCCTGAACCAGCCAGGCCTAGCCTCCCAATCGATGTATGAGATATTCTTAAATGCCAGGCAGTCCTCGAGTTTACCAGGCCTGAAATGCTTCACATGGAAATCTCCAGATTCTGAGACCTTGTGACTAGTCTGAGATTGCAAAGTTACAGAGCTGGAGTCCATTGAAAATGCTTCACATGGAAATCTCCAGATTCTGAGATTGCAAAGTTACAGAGCTGGAGTCCATTGGTCTAAAGATTTTGGGAAACCAATGAGTGAATGAATGAACTAATTGTCAGAAGACAATGGCCCCAGTGGCCACTTAATGCAGAGAACTCATTGATTTGGTTATGAGAGTCCTCATCCCTGAGAGACAGGAGTCACAGCCTTCTGACTTGGAAAAAATGCTGCTTAGACCGGCCCTGGAATGTGCTTTCCATGGAAACTCTCGGGGCCTTCACGTGGCTCCCAGCACTGACCACTGCTTCCAGATTATACTACTCAACATTTCAGAACTGGATTCTCATTGTGTCTGAGGTTTGAGACCCTGAGCTTGAGCTCTTGGAGTGGATGTTTCCGGAGTCTGAAGGGGTACAAGGAGATCCTCCATCCCACTCTGCTGTCTCCAGGCCTGCTATGCCTCACCTGCCCAGGTCCCACATAGCTGCAGAGGGCATCAGCATGGCAGCCACCTCGTGCGTCCAGCTCACACTCGTCGATGGCCACGCAGACACGGCCATCCCCACTCCAGCCTTTGTGGCATGTGCAGTGGTGGGCGCCCAGGGCCCCAGGAACACATTCGGCCTATGAGAGCCACAGATAAATGGCTCAGGGCTGCAATGCAGTGGGCAGAGGGCAGAGGGCAGAGGGCAGAGGGCAACGGTGACCCACTTCCCACCCCTGGATCAGGACTTCAGGGAAGGGACAATGAGACTGACGTTCTCTGAGCAGCCACCACGGTCTGGGTGGGAGCAGGGGTTCCTGGGTGTGCAGGAGAAGCCATCACCTTCAAAGCCATCGAGACAGAGACACCTGGGGGTGGGTGAATGGAGGGCCTCCAGTAAACCTCTGAAAGAGGCTAGAGGTTGAACAAATGACAAGAGAGGTCATAGACATACAGAGAGGAAGCTTGAGCCCTCACCTGGCGATGCCCCCCTGGCTAACACAGCGGGCATGCTGGTGGCAGTTCTGGGCCTGCTCTGTGGACCCACAGTTCCCTGTGGACTCGTTGCAGAAGCGGCCGCTGAAGCCTGGGGCGCATGTGCCACCCTGACACACACCCCCACTGCCTGGACGGTTGTCACATAGACCATGGACACAGCCGCAGTCTGCAGGGAGGAGATGGGAGCAGGGAAACTGAGGCAGGGGCCAGGATGCAGCTGAAGACATGCTGGGAATGGGGCAGCCAGCACAGAATTGACTTCAGGTTCACAAAATCAGGTTATCCCAAATTCAATGGGCTGGCAGAGGAAATGAGAGGGGGCATTTTTTGCTTTCAGTCACCCCATTCTAGCTGCCTTCCCCCCAAATCCACTTTTGGGAAGTTCTCCTGTGTGTCTGACCTAAATCCTGAATGCTTTAGGTTCAACCACGGTTCTCTTCCTGGCGTGGGTGAAGAGACATCTGTTTCTGTTCCCGAATCCTCCTCCACTCTCTCTGGCCTTTATCCTTTCTCCAGGGGCTCTATTCCCCTTCTTGGGAGTCCCCGGCCCCCTTTCCAGGCAGAATGTTTTTCTTCCTGACAGGCAACCTGGGCCAGGATCACCTACCTTCCTGACACTGGTCACCATGCTTGTTTGGGTTGGAACAGATGTGGCAGGCAACACCCTTGTAGTCTGGGAAGCAGAGGCAAGCCCCATTGCCCAGGACCCCATCGCTGCACTGGGGGTGGGCAGGAGGCAGGATCAGTCACCGGGAAGGGACTCTCCACACCCCCTCCCCCATCACCCCTTTCCACTGCGGGCTGGCTCTGAGCTCCCGATCCCCCTGGAAGACCTTATCCTGAAAGAGACCTTCCAAATCACCGATGCCGCCTAGGAACTAGTACCCTAAAACAGCAGTCCTCAACCTTTTTGGCACTAGGGAACAGTGCTCCTATGAGAATCTAATGCCTGCTGATCGAGGTGGAGCTGAGGCGGTGATGCTAGTGCTGGGGAGCGGCTGCAAATACAGATGAAGCTTCGTTTGCTTGCCTGCTGCTCACTTCCTGCTGTGTGGCCCAGTTCCTAACAGGCCACAAACCGGTACTGGTCCATGGCCCCAGAGGTTGGGAACCCCGTCTTAGAAGGAACCTGGCCCTAGAGGCTTCGTGGGTGACTTTTGCTCAACCTAGAAACACATATCAGAGGTTGGGAACCCCATCTTAAAAGGAACCTGGTCCTTTTCGTGGGTGACTTTTGCTCAACCTAGAAACACATAATTCCTGTGTTCTTCCCTAGCCAGGTGTTAAAGTAACCCTGATGTTACAAAGTGGCAAAAGAAAAAAAGCACCCCCCCTCCCAAAAATATAACACACAAATAGCTTTTATGAAAATAGATACTAATTAACTATTTCTAATTAAAATAGTAAAAATAATATGATCCAACTTCTACTGCCTAGATGTGAGGGAACTGAAGCCAGAGAGGTGGGTTTGGTTCAGCTACTCAGCCAGTCACTGGCTGGCTTGAGAAGACCCTGCCTCCCCGACTCCTCACCCTTGAGCAGGATGGAACTTACGTTGCCTTTGCCATAACAGGGGTTGGAGAAGCCCCCCGGACACTGTGCACAGTCCGGCCCAAAAAACCCTTTGCAGCAGCCAGGTTTCTGTAAGAGACAGAGCATGTCTAAAGATCTGTCTGGCACAATGCCACTCCCACTGTCCAGGCTCCTTCTGTTCCCTTGTCCCATCTCTGGAGCAAGGGGGTGGGTGACCCCTCCGGGACACCTGTTCCACCATTAGGATGCAGCCCAGCTCCCTGAGGAAGGCAGCCCACCCGGCCCCAGCCTGGGGACCCCAGGGGAGAGCAAGTGCCCCAGGTTACTAGACACTAAGTGCCCCATGCCCAGGCTCACCAGGATGGTCTGGTTACAGTAGCGGGCACAGCCCTTCTTCAGGACGTTGAGTCCAGTAGGGTCATGGATGTAGACACACTCCTCAGGGGAGATGTCCTGGGTGGGCCGTGCAAGGCTGGTCAGTAGGTATGGGTCCTTGGCAACCCCCTTCATCTGGCAGCCCTGGTCAAGGGATCTCTGTCCCCTGGGTCCAGCACTCCCACCCTCCGGGTCCAGCCTAGCCTCCCAGCCCCACTGCCCCACCTTGACCCCAGGCAGAATT